CCGTGCATAGCCGCGGTCGGGAGGGTCGTGAAAGGCTCTGGAGGGGTGGGAGGGTGGTGCCAAGCTGTGCCACAGGGACCGGGAGCCATGCGAGGGGGGGTATGTGTATGTACAAGGCTGGGGAGGGCGTACGGACAAGTAGGGTGGCACAAAGAGGTGTGAAGAGGGATCTGGGTGGGCCTGGGCACTTGTGAGGGGGTTTTGAGGGTGATGGGGGATCAAAGCTGTGCTGAGGGGTGCAGGCAGAGCCATGGGTGAAGCAGCTCGGGTGCTGTTGACACCCTTGGCTTTTCCAGGAGCTCCCTAAGTGGGTCATTGTGTGTAGGGCTTTGGGTGGATGTGGAACGGCCCGTGGGGTCTCCCTAAGTCTCCTGAGCTCGGTGGCCTCCTTTGCCCCATAGTTTGTCATACTGGGCAGCCCCCAACTGCCCCACGGCTGCTCTGACCCCAGCCCAAACACCTGAGTCCTTCCTGCCGTGGGGTTGTCCCATCCCGGGGGCACATCCTGACCCCATTGCTGGTGGTTGCCTCCGCTGCGGCTCCTCGTTGCCGTCTTGGCCCTCCTCTACCTCTGCGGGGAGGCTTCTGGAGAGATCAAAAGCACCACATCCTCTCATCACCGCTTGCGGGAGGTGACATCTCAACCGTTGCTGCGCCGCCTCCCGAGGCGAGGAGGAGGAAGGGTAAATCGGCGGCTGCTCCGAAGGTAGATGACGGAACCGAGCAAGATAGTGGTCGTGGAGGTTCATGGTGGATATTGGGAGAAAATTCCTTACCTGGTGGCTTGGCTGGAAAAAGCCATAGGTGGTCTGGGTTGGTACTGGACCTGCTTCAGGAGCAGGGACCCCCGGAGGTGCTGTCCCCTCTGCGATGACATCAGGGACACCCCCGGGTCTGCACGTCACCATCAGGACCCAGGACCTTCTGGTTTCTTCCTTCATGACCGGAGCATGTTAACAGCCCACCTTGCTAACGAGCCACCGCATTTTGACAGGCGCAGGGCACCGTGTGGGTCCGTGAGGAGACTCTTTAGTGACAAACGGTGGTGACTGGGGTTTGGGGTGACCCTGGCCTCCCCGCCCCACCCCGACACCCCTCACCACTCCCCTCCCCGCAGCGGTCGACTGCCCCATCTGCAAACACCAGTGTCACCTGAAGGACGTCGTAGAGAACTACTTCCTGAGGGACAGTGGGGCCGAAACAGCTGCCACCAGCCAGGGATCGAGTCAGGTAACGCATCGTTAATGCTTAATTAACGATTAATTAGGGTGAAATGAGCTCCCGGTGGCTGGGCTGACCCAGTGTCCCCACGCTGTGTCTCTTGTCCCCCAGTGTTGCACCAGTTGTGAGGACAACGCGCCGGCTACCAGCTACTGCGCGGAGTGCTCGGAGCCGCTCTGTGACGCTGTGATTGCTCGGAGCCGCTCTGTGACACCTGTGTGGAGGCCCACCAGCGGGTCAAGTACACCAAGGACCACACGGTCCGCGCCACAGGTCTGTTCTTGTCACCGTGCTGTCACCGTTCTTGTCACACCGCGCTGTCACCGCCCTTTCCGAGGCGGTGACCTTGTGGCCGACGCATCCCCGAGCACGTCTGGAGATTCTACTGCGGTGACCGTGCCTGTCCCACAGGGACATCTACTCTGTCAGCGAGTCCCCACTGGGTGCCGGTGACATCGTGGTGACATCACGGTGATGTCACATGACGGTGATGTTATACCCTGTTTCCCGCAGGCAGCGGCAAGGCGAAGGAGAGGGAGCGCACCGTGTACTGCTCCGTGCACAAGCACGAGCCGCTGGTGCTCTTCTGCGACACGTGCGACACGCTCACCTGCCGCGACTGCCAGCTCAATGCGCACAAGGACCACCAGTGAGTGGACTTCGGCAGTAATTAATTTATTAAAAATTGATTTTTGATAGCTAATTATCGCTTGAATCAGTTAGCCTGCTCCGTTAGCTTTTACAAAGAGTGATTTGGGGCAAGTAGGATAAAGAAATTTGTTTATTGACTGAAAAGGTTGCCTGCACACCTTATCAGTGCGGCCCCTTAAATGTGTTTTTAATGGGTATCTAAGAAGGTAGATAACTAATTAAAGTAATTCATTAGTTATTGAAAAAGTACTGAAGTTAGCCTGCAGGTTCGTTATTCTCATCAATCAGTTATTGATTTTAAAAATGAAGCTCATTAGTTGGCTAGCTGTTGAAGGGATTGACCGAGTCGGGGGTTAATTTTGGTTGATTTTTGGTTTTAACCAAATAGGTTACTGATTAGTTACTTTGTTAATTAGTGGAGCGGTTGGTTTGAGGGGCTTAAATTGCTTTTAGGTTTTAAGGAATTGAAAAGATCTAAGTTGCTACTCATGAAAAATCAATGTAAATACATTCTCAGTTATTTGAATTAGCTTGATTTTTTTTTTTTTTCCCCCCAAATGATCTTTAATTGCTTTTAAATAGGCTGGTTAAATTTCCTGGTTGAATCGATAACTAATTTGATTCATTACCTCGTTATCTGAGCAGGTATCTAGTTAGATTATTTATCTGATGGATTAGTTATATTAAAAGCATTTTTGATACATAAGATCTAATTCAGTTAAAGCAAATAACTGATTAAGTTCAAGTTTTGGGGCTGATGAGTTTGTTGGCTCAGGCAACTCCTTAACCCAAATTAATTTGATTATTAATGGTTAACAAATTAATGAGCAAGATTAAAATATTGAGCGGGTTAACTTATTCAGGTTGGTTCCCTTCTCCAGTGGCTTGAGGGGTCCCTGTGGGGGCTATTTTGGGCCCCCTTCACGGGTCTGTGGTGTGAGGGGCAGCACCCATTGGGGTATTTTGGGGCTGTGACCCCCTTTTTCCACCGCCCCACCCCTCCTTCCCCAGGTACCAGTTTCTGGAGGACGCGGTGAGGAACCAGCGCAAGATGCTGGCGACGCTGGTGAAGCGCCTGGGCGACAAACACGCCAGCCTGCAACGCTCCACCAAGGAAGTGCGCAGTTTGTACGTGCCCCATCTGCCCCCCCTCCCCAGAGGGGATTATCTACCCCCCCAGGGGGGCAGTTATCTGCCCTGGA